GGCAGCCCCTGGGGGCAGGCGCAAGCTGGTCCCACCACCACCAGACAAGCTGGCAGCAGGAGAGAACAAGAAGCTGAGACCAACCCTGGAGGCCTAACCCTGCCGCAGCCCCTCTCTCCTGTCCCTCCTCTCCACCCCCCAGACCTGTGTCCCTCTGACACTGCTACTCACCCGACTGGCTCCACCAGCCTCTCCCAGCACCCCCAGCCAGGTCCCAATCCCGTCCTCCTTAGGTGGCATGGGGGGATGGGCGGGCAGGGTGTTGTCTCGGTTTGTTTGAGACAGGCAATGTCTTTTTTTATTTTGTTGTTTTCATTATTTTTAATTTAAACCTGACAACTTTGCACAGTGGCTGTCCCCCCCACACAGCGGGGGGCACAGGCCTGCTGCTGCCTTCCCTACTGGGGGCTGGAGGTGGGCATGACCCAGATCCTGGCCCAGTGTGGGCCTGGACCTCTGGGGCCCAGAGGGCTGGGTCTGCCTTCTGACAGCTGGCTTCCAAACTGGCCGCCACCCACCCACCCGGACCTCTGCGACCTCTCAGAACCAAGGCAGGCCCCAGGGCCTGCGACCTCAGACACTGTCTTCCCTCGGAGCCCCATCCTCTGTGGAGCTCCCATATCCCTCCTCCCCCCACCCCTGGGCAGGGACTAAATAAATGTTTGTATGGATTTTAGATTTCACTGCTGTGGCGGTGGTCTGGGTGTCAGGCAAGACGCACCCTGTGGAGGCCACTGTCCCCGTGGCCAGGACTCACTCTTCCCTGCCAATATGGGGAAACAAATGGAACCTTGATCACCTTCATAAAACCAGCTTGAAGCCCTGGGTGACTGCACCTCTGCAGCCTGTCAGCTTCCAGCCCCTCTCTGAGGGACGGTGGGTGGTGTCCCCTGCACAGGGTGTGAAGTGCACTGGGCTGGGCCCTGGGAATGGAGTTAGCCTCTCTCCCGGTGGGGATAAGGGTGCCCAGAGACTGTCCAGGGGGTTTAAGGAGACCAGGACGGCAGCTTCGTGTTGCATGTCCCAGGGAAGGAGTGGGGACTTCAGCCCACCAAGAGCTGCCTGTCACCCTGCCAGCAAAAACCATAAAGCTTGCAGCGCACTCACAGCCCCAAGCAACCTCAGCTGAATCAGCCCCCATTTGTGAATTGTTCTGGCTTGGTGGGGGGAGGCTCAGGGGTGCTCAGGCCTTCAATTTCCGTTTAAAGTATAAATGCTGGCCGGTATGGTGTTGGGCACCTGTGGTCCCAGCTGCTTGGGAGGCTGAGGCAGGAGGATCACTTGAGCCCAGAAGTTGGAGGCTGCAATGAGCTGTGATGATGCCACTGCACTCCAGCCGGGGTGACAGAGTGAGACCCTGTCTCAAAGGAA